TGTTGGGCCAAAAGGAAAACCCAAGACTAGGTTATGTTTGGATATCATGAAATGAATGTAGCGGAGTGGAATGAAGATTACATTTCATTGTTTGGGTATTTTAGAACGGAGCAAGGGAAATTCTCCTTTCCATCCAAATCGGAAGGGAAGAAATATGATGTTAAGTGATGGAATATTATAGAATCCATATCACTTCATTCTGCTATGCTCCATTCGATTTTAATTAATCCAAACAATGGAACCTCAATTCCATTCTGCTCCATTCCGTCACATTCCATCTATCCTAACATACAGTTGGCGGTGTGTACCCGGAGAGTGAGGAAGGGAATCAAGGAGTAGAAGGTTCCTTTGCTGCTCCAGTAGCCTGCTTAGTGAGAGAATCAGATAACCATTTCTATTATAGTGTGTTGCTTTAATAGAGGGGTGGTGGGTAGGTTGAGGGCATTTTAGACAATATCCAAGTTTGTTAGAATGGATAGCCACTGTTCTCTGTAGGAGCTGGGCGCTGTAGTAGTTAGAGAACTTCTCTTCTATAAATTGTTCAATCTCAGTGAATATAACAATAATCTCTCTTCTATTCATATTTTCTGTGATTTGCTTTCCCTGGTTCCTAACAGTTTGTTATTACAGAAGTATGGAAAGATTGATGTTGTTGTTTCCAATGCTGCTGCAAATCCTTCTGTTGAGTCCATCCTTAAAACACAAGAGTCGGTCCTTGACAAGTTATGGGAGATAAATGTCAAAGCCTCTATACTTCTTCTGAAGGTAATCAAGCAGTGAAAATGCCTTTAACAAATAGAAGAAAAGAAACAATACATTATTAATATATACATATGTTTCGACATTTCCCATGTGGTGTGTCGATGTTGTAAAATGGTGTATCATGTGTTATCCCCCTTATTATTTTTCACACAGGATGCAGCTCCTCACATGCAAAAGGGTTCATCTGTTGTTATCATTTCATCAATTTCTGGTTATCACCCACCAGCTGCTATGGCTATGTATGGGGTGACCAAAACAGCCCTTTTTGGACTTACCAAAGTCGGTACTTGGCTTCCAATTGCTCCTTCAAAAATCAATTGAACTGTACCGTTTTATTTATTAATTTTTTTAAAATCTGATAGTTAGGATAATATGATGTGTAGGCCCTTGCTGCTGAGATGGCCCCTAACACTCGTGTAAACTGTATTGCTCCTGGTTTTGTACCGACTAATTTTGCTTCATTCATTACCAATAATGCTGCTATGGTAAGTATCTTTTGAACCAAATAGGTTTTTCCTCTTGTCTCACTGTGTATAGTTTGTTGATTGAATGTATTTCGTGTGTATACTTCTGCAGAGAAAGGAGCTGGAACAGCAGACATTACTTAGAAGGCTTGGTACTACTGAAGACATGGGTGCTGCTACAGCTTTTTTGGCATCGGATGACGCATCTTATATAACAGAGGAGAAACTATAGTAGTTTCTGGCGGAATGCCATCGAGACTGTAGGCTTCTATTATGCGTCTAAGGCCAAAATGTGATGGCGAAATTGGAATATGTAGCGTGTTTCCATGTCTCTGTAGACTTTCCTTTATGCTCTGGTGTGTGATTATTATAATAAATTTACATCCTTTGGCTTAAGACACAATTCTGTAGAGTAATTATCCAATAAATTACGTTCTTATCCTACTTTATTCGAATATAGATACCAGTTTCTAACACTTGGTCCCTACTTCTTGGAGAAAAATCAAAATCATACATTGACTAGAGGTGAAGCCCATATAGAATTTATATAAGTTAGTTTTATGAATTTGAATTAGATGCTTATATTGCTGCCTGGACAATATTCATCTTACAGTTATATTTTGTCGATGTTGTACTCAAAGTCCTTGACAAATTCTTGAAATTTTTTTATATTTTTCATCTTCTATATTGTGGCTTAGATTCAAATTTTTTCGTTTTTGTCTGTGTGAATTTATGACTCTGTATTTGGGAAGAGCTCTTATCAATTGTAATTGACTTGTTTGATTGAAATGATAGACACATGTTTCACTTAATAATTAATTATTGTCGTTTGGGGTTATACCATGTTAATGAAACATGCTGCCCCATAGCAAATCAATTCTGTTATTCATTGTGCTTTCATTACAAATCATCCATAACAAGAAAATTAAATCTGGAAAAACGAAGAGGAAATCCAGTTGTGAATAATCTGAGTTCATGGAAAGATGGCATTTGCTCTATCGTGTCAAAATGTTTAATTCCATTTTCATAATAAAGTTTTTAGAAATTTTTGGATGTCAAAACCAGTTCTCCTTAGAAAATTACATCAATTAACTTGAGAGACACAACATTGTTATGTATGAATTTTTGAACTCTAAAGAATCATAATATCTGATGCTAGGAAATCGAAAGTGTGTTCTTATTTTATTAATAATTAACGAGACTTTGTTTTCAATAGAGATGGATTTAGCAGCTTTAATTTCAACTAAAACATGACCACATCAATAAAGGTGATGTGAACAATCTATGAGTGATTGAAATGAACTATTTGGATGCTGAAAGATGATAGAGTATGGTACGAGTACTATGTTCTCTCTTAATCTTTCATCTTTATACTCTTTGTTTGATTCCACACTTTTGGCGTTTAGTGTTCCACACTTCTAATTCATTTATGAAAAAATGGCCATTAAACAGATTCCACACCTTTTTCATTCAAAGGTGAGATTCCAAACTTGGAATATCTGCTTTGCAAAATTTCAACCCATTGCTTGAATTGGAGTATAATTATATAATCCGCAACTCAAATGCTTAAAGAACTATATATATATATATATATATATATATATATATATATATATATATATATATATATATATATATATATATATATATATATATATATATATATATATATATATATAGTCTCCATCAAATTGGTATGTTATCTCTTTGTTAGTGCTTAATTTTTACCTATAGATGGAATAAAAGAACCTCAAAAAAATATGTACATGTCACTACCTTACCAAAGTGAAGAAGCTATATTTTATCGTCTAAAGAAAACATGTAGGAACGACACTTATATTAAAATTATATGTTCAAATCAGAACAATCTTAGATTTTTGGCAATTATACGTAGATTAGTTATAGAACCGGAACAATCTTAGATTTTTGGCAATTATATGTAGATTAGTCATAGTTTAACTTCGACAAAACAATTAGAGACTCTATTTAGTCGTGAATAATCTATTATGAGATATTATTTGTTTATAGTTTAGCTATGACAAATTTGAGACCTTGTGATAAAGTCTACCTTACGCACTCTTAAAGACAATCGTGTGTCTAATATCAACATGTTCTTTAGATATCTATGTGTTGTGTTTGTGTTTCATAAGAATCCGTCTGACTGAATCAAACGATGTTTGAAATGACACTTGTCTTGTTATTACTTTATCTTTTAATTACATTACATGCCACATGAATTATAGGACTTTTTTAGTCCCAACGATGTGGTGCTTGCTAGAGTTAAGAGATGTGATATGGTACATATCCCAAAAGTAGTACAAAAGTGAAAATTGTTGGAGGAGCTGAATGCAAAGCTCAAATCTAAAAAACTTTGCACTGTGGCCACTTAAACATTGATTGATTATGATGCATGCAAGAAAAGAAACCTAAACAGAACAGAACCAAAGTAAGGTAGCTCCATTAAATTAACTACACCAAAAACACCTTTTTCTTCTTTCTATCACTATATCAAAGTTTACTTTTGAACCAAGCACTCACGAGACATCTCTGAAACTTTTTCCTTTCAATTCATCTTTATGCTGCTAAACAACCTAATCCTCCTCATCCATCATCCTATTAGAAAAAAACCGTGAAAACTGTTTTTTTCTTCTTCTTCTTCCTCTAAACTTCACTTCATTTTGTTTGTATTTTCTTTATACAATGAAACCTCAACACCCTTTTATATTCCTTTCTTTCTCTCTAATTGTTATGTGTTGTAACGGTTTTTATCCTTCGCAACTTTGATGAACCAAAAGGGTGTTGTTGCTTGTTATGTATCATAAATATACATGCTCTTCAATTTTCGTAGTCCTTGGAGCCGCCTATGTTTCGAAATCGGTTTATGCACTTCTTGAAATCAATTCACACGTTCAGAAGAAAAATTCCTTTTGACAGTCTATACTTTTGATCATAACCATCACATACATAACAATAATAACCATTTTCCAAAGGCATGAGCTTTGCTAGAACTTCAATGGCAGGTTCATGGTTCACCAAGCTTCGCATGCGAAGGTCTAAGAGTAATAAACCTTTACCAGAACCATCTTCATCTTCTAAGACTCGGTTGAATTGTGACGCAGACAACATGGAAAGAAAAAGATTTGATAGCTTAGAGTCATGGTCCATGATATTGGACTCTGAGAATGTCGAAACATGGGAAGCATCAAAGGAGGATCAGGAAGAATGGACCGCCGATCTTTCTCAGCTTTTCATAGGTAACAAGTTTGCGTCTGGTGCTCACAGTCGGATTTACCGTGGAATTTACAAGCAAAGAGCTGTTGCTGTTAAAATGGTGAGGATTCCTAATCAGAATGAAGAGAGAAGAACATTGCTAGAACAGCAATTCAAATCTGAAGTTGCTTTACTCTCACGTCTCTTTCATCCTAACATAGTGCAGGTAATTATTTTATCATTACAAGTTTTTAATAATTCTCATGTCCACTTCTTGTCCTTATACTCTTTTTTGTTTCTTTTCTTTTCTACTCGTTTCAACTTTATTTCCTCTTGTGTCCTTTGGTTTTTATGTGTATAGTCTTTTTATGTATATATGGTGTGTGTATTTTGATGTTGAAATGACAAACTCTTATTTTCTTATTTAAAAGACTCGCAACCACTTACCACTTTTGGGGAGAAAAATTTAATACCAACTTGGTTTCAAAAATGAGTTTTCTCTACTTTTGTGTCATGTTTTTTATAGAGCTACATGTGATCAAAGTCATGAATATAACTGTACTACATCTACACGTATAATAAATTATGAGCGAATCGAAGTTCGCGGGGTTGGGATTATATACTTTAATTTACTCTCCAAAGTGATTTTCTCTTCTAAATCCAATTTTCGCATTGGTGACTTATGTGTGATTTTTAATTTACAGTTTATTGCAGCATGTAAAAAACCACCTGTGTACTGTATAATAACAGAATACATGTCACAAGGAACTCTAAGGATGTATCTGAACAAGAAAGAGCCATACTCTCTTTCGATTGAAACTGTGCTAAGGTTAGCACTTGACATATCAAGAGGTATGGAATACCTTCATTCACAAGGTGTGATTCATAGAGACCTCAAATCAAATAACTTGCTTCTCAATGACGAGATGAGGGTTAAGGTTGCGGATTTCGGGACATCATGTCTTGAAACACGATGCCGAGAGACTAAAGGAAATATGGGAACTTATCGTTGGATGGCGCCAGAGATGATTAAGGAAAAACCTTATACTCGTAAGGTTGATGTTTATAGTTTTGGAATTGTGCTCTGGGAACTTACAACTGCTCTGCTTCCTTTTCAAGGAATGACTCCGGTGCAAGCTGCTTTTGCTGTTGCTGAGAAGGTTAGACCCTATATCTAAATTTAAGTAATTCTCTAGATAGTTGTTGTAAAGAATTTATGTAGCATCAATACGACACTGACACATCGTTTTGCATTCTATCACTTCTATTTTCTCAAATTATTATTAGTGTCGTGTTGACATATCAATGTCTATGTCATGTCTGTGTCCATGTTTCATAAATATGAGATATCACAAAATCTTGTAATCTACATATAACTTAAAATAATCATGCAAATTTTATTGATATAAAATTTGAATCTCTCTCAAACTCACAAACCCGTGTCACACTGATTGAGCAGAACGAAAGGCCTCCAGTACCTGCAAGTTGTCAGCCAGCTCTTGCGCATCTAATAAAGCGTTGCTGGTCAGCAAATCCTTCAAAGAGACCAGATTTCAGCGATATTGTGTCTACTCTTGAGAGGTACGATGAATGCGTGAAAGAAGGTCTTCCTCTAACTTATCATTCAGGACTAGTCACCAAAAACTTCATAATCGAGCGCTTAAAAGGTTGCGTCCCCATGAGCTCCTCCATACCTGTAAATGCTTAATTGAATTCATTCCCCTGTCCTATAAAGGTATTAATTAATAGCTGTTTAATTCTCATGTAGCTTGAATATAACATAGTTTACTTACACATGCTTCATGTTCTTTCAATTGTATTACCTATCTGTATCTAAGAAAAATTTCCACTTTTTTTTCTCCTAAATTTTCAGCTGTGTCATGTAAATGGATGAGTTAAAATTTGATTATGGAAACATAAAGAGAGATACAAGTGAATGATGCAATCAACAGAACATGCAAAAGTGTATTAGTAGAGAAGTATTGAGTGGAATTGCTTAAACTTGGAGAAGGTTACATGACATGTAGATTTGTATTTATTTATACTATTGTTGTGTGGGTGCAAAACATGTGTAAATTGTATTTATTTATGACCACAAGAATGTAACCAAATCCAGCAACAGCATTCATTTCATCAAACACCATGAGTGCAAAAACTATGTTTTGTGAGTGCAATGCATAGCTGCAACTACCTCATTCCATTTACCAGCATCAACGAATGACTTAAGTCTAAAAACTACATTCTCACTTAATTCTGAAACATATATCATGTCAAAATGCCGAGAATTTCTTATGGCATCTTAGATGGAAAAAAACCTTGTGAAAAATCAAAATGTCTTTTGGAATTGTATTTTTGGAGCGCATCCTTAAATTTCACAATGTAAAACTATATCAGAAAAGTATTTCCGATTTTAATATAGGGTAAATCTCTGTATAGGGTGGGTGTGCATCAAAATACATTTTCAGTTTCCGAAGACATTTTTTGAAATTCACGTGGGTGGCTAAGAAACACTTAGGGTGCGTTAAAGAAATTCTCTTTCATAATCTCACTTGAGTATGTGAATTTCTTGTCCAAGAACTCTTATCTTTGGATTAGTCTACCATGTTTCAAGTACAATTGAGAATCATTTGCAATATTAATCTACCTACTCATCGACCGTTCCCGTATCCCTTAGTTTGAAAAAATCACCCATGACCCGTATTCACATGGGCACCAACCTCTGTACCCGTATTTGTATTTTTTGGATATCTAAGTAACTTTACCCCATATTTCTAGTAAAAATAAATTTATTAATTGAAATATCATATCATTTTAATTTCTTTTACAAAATTAACAAAAAACTACAAGATTTTACTATTTATTTTGAAATAAAGGAACATTTATATTAAAATGTGTAATAGTTTAATTGTGATGTAGTAGTATTACTTTAAAGATATAGATATATATTTTTTATATGATGATATAAATTAAAATAAATAAATATGCACGGAGTGAGGTGGATACTAAGGTATATGTATCCGCATTTCTAAGGTGAGTATGTGGTGCTTCTCTCACTTATAAATGTTCAAGTCTCCATATTTCTAATCAATGTTAGACTTTCCCACACTACTCACACTTGTTTCTCTCAGCACTCTCCCTCAAGTATGAGTCTACCAGTAATGCTCCACCTCAAGTGGAAGCTCTTTACACATGTATATCCGTTGACACATTTCAACGGGCCACCTCCTATCTAGTAGAAAATTTCGATAAAAGTGAGTTGGTCCTTTCACTCCAATCAGACTATGATACCACTGTAGGGGCTATAATTTTGGGGTCACAAGAGAAACATTGTGGATAGACTCACACTTGAGAGAGAGTGTTAAAAATAACAAGTGTGAGTAATGTGAGAAAGTCTCACACTGATTATGTTGTACTCCAAAATTTGCCCTCCCATATTCTTCAAGATTTGCCAAGTCAAAGCTTCAAAATCTCCCAAAGGGTTGCACAGTTCAAGGGCCTCCTAACAGTCAAGAATTAGGGTTTTGGTTATGGCAAAGTAATTGAAGTTTCCAAGGGTCCAATCAAGTCCCACATGCCTACAAACATTGTCAAGTATCCTCATAACAAGTTTCAAGACTCACAGTACAAAATTGCACAGTCAAAAACCCTAATTGCCCTACAGTCAACTGCAGGGGCAAAATGGTCATTTGACAGTCAAAAGTTCAAATTTTTGGTCAACATCTCATTTTGAAGCCACAAACATCATTTGATCAATTCTTGATCATGATTCTCAAAGCTTGGCTCAAAAAGTCTCAAGATGCAAAAGTTTCCATATTTGGACAGTTGAAAAAGTCAACTGTAACTTGACCAAGGCATAACTTCCACATGGTTTATCAGAAAAATTCCATCCAAAGCTCATTTTGAAGAGAAAGACATTTCCTACAACTCCTCTTCACACTTCAAGTCCAAGAAATGCTCTCACAAAAAGTTATCAATTTCAACATTATAGGTCATTTTCAAAAGTCAACAAAAAGGGACTTTAAGTCAAAGGCCATAACTTGAGATTGGTAAATCAAAATGACATGGTACCAAAGGCATTGGTTAGAGGACTTCAATACCTTTCCAAAATGTCCAAGAACATGATCAAAGCTTAAAAATTGAGCAAGATATGCCTTGTGGAAGTTGGGAAATTTTTGGATATTTTGAAAAGTCAACTTTGCTTCAAAGGCCTTAAAATTGCTAATGAGCCTCTTTTTCTTCCAAGATTCATCACCCAAAGCATGTGCACGACCATTTGGCCCAAAGGGAAGTTATTCATCATTTTTATTTATTTATTTGAATTTTTAAATTGCTATTAATTCATTTAATAAAATAAATATGTGAAAAATACCAAAGCAAACTTTTTAAATCTTTTTATGCATGAAATATCTCCAAGAATTCGTGCAAATCAGATAGGGAAAGAATCAATGAAGATTGGACATAATTGGTATCAAATATGCATGAAAAAGATTGAAAAATATATGCATAAAAATCAAATATTGATTCCATCATTGCAAAGATCTTTGGATTGAAAACTCAACCCTAATTCATTCCTTACATATACCAATGCAAACCTAATGCACAAAAGACCTGGATGTTGCGCCTCCTCTCAAGAACAAAGTTGCACTTTTTTTGTGAAAAATTCAAAACTGAAAACACCATTCCAAGGCGTTTCAAGGCCATATAACCATTCCACTAGCTTGCCAAGGCCACGAGGAGACTATTCCAATCAAGAACATTGTCCCATACTCAAGGAATTGGTATATCAAAGTCATACTTTTCACGAAAATATTCATAAACGTATCATGAATTCTATGCATTTTTCATATGTTTTTGATGTTGATTTATGCTAATTGGATCATTCTAAAGCTAACCATATACATCAATTGAGTTTTCGTGCACTATAGGAGAATTCACCATGGAAGCTTACTAGGGTTACGAAACTGAAAAATTGGGGGTTTCCTCGTCCAGAAAAATTAGACCCTAAGACCAGGACTGTTGGACTCAGAAGCTTCATGAGAATCGTTTCCATACCTCGCGATTAATTTATGATTAGCAGGGTGCTAATCGCTATTTTTGTATACAGTATTTAGTGGGGGTTTAAAACCCCCGCTATTCAATTTGTTTTTTATTTCAGGCGCAGCAAATAATTGGGGAAGATGATGATGTGTAGGCAGGTGAATGGAGCGTTTGAATTTCGCGCGGAAAAATATCATTAACTCTTGTTTTGATTGATATTATTTATTGGTCATATAATAAACAAAGCGTTCAGGTGGTTCAAGTGGCAGGCATGTGTATTGGTAACCTCTGGGATCTGGGTTCGAACCCCAGGTCCCCCTTTCTTATTCCATATTGTTTTTCTGATCATGCTTATGTGCAGCTTCAATCCAAGCGTCCATCATACGTTTCCAATCCAGGCACGCCACTTGTCCCACAACCTCCATCCAATGACCAGGATCTGAGGCCTATGGAACGCTGCAGTCAACGCATACACATGCTCCCATAAAAAGTCAGAAAGGGCCTTAAATCACTGGGCCTAATTACCCCAATATGACCTCCAAACTGGGGACAGAACCCCCCAAGGTTTTTGCAATTCTTTTCTTTTTTCTTTTATTTGTTTCAATTATTTCTTTTTTAATTCTTTAAATCAATTTATTTTCATAAAACATAAAAATAATAAAAATCAAAAAGTCATAAAAAAATAGAAAAGATATTTTATTTAAATATTATTTTTTTAAAATAAATCTCATTAATTAATTTAGCTTTTTAAATTTAGTTTTAACTTTAACATTTTCTTAATAAATTTAAAATTTGTGGAATTAGGTTTTAATTACTTTCACCTTTTTCTTTTCTTTTATTAATCATTAATTATTAATTATTTTCTTGTAAATAAAATTGCATTAATTAATTAGGTTTAATCTTAGGTTCAATTTTAATATTTTTCCTTAATAAATTAAAAATAACTAGAATTAGGGTTAATTTCTTAATTTCATTTAATTCTCTTATTAAAAATCCATAAATACAAAAAACCTCAAAAATAATTTCTTGTTATTTTATTTTAATTAATTTGTTAATAATAATTTAATTTCATTAAAAAGGGTCCAACGCCCTCGCTTTCGATTTTAATTCTCTTCGCATTTTTATTTCTGTTCTTATAATATTAATGTAATTCTCCCAAAGCCATGTAAATTTGATACTTATCTTTCGCATCTTTATTTTATGTCAAATCGGGTCCTGGATTTAATTTGGCGATGTGGACCCGCGCCTTTGTAATAGTTTAGGAACTTTATATTTCTCGCAACTTTTTAACTGTTAATAATTGCATGCAAGAATGAATGTTAAAATAAAAACAAAAGCGTAGGTCACCCATGACATGACAAGACAAAAATAAATGAATCTGACACATAAATCACACACCACCCCTAGGGTACGCTTCACTGTTGCCTTGCCTTCGAAAGGTGATCGTCGAGTAGAGGATGTCTTAGTAAGCCCTCATGATCCGGGAACCTGGCATGAGGGTAGCTTCTAAGGTGTCTTCCTATTGCTCTGGTGATCACCATGTCCCGAACCTCGAATTGACCCGAATACCTCCAACGGTGGTGCTACCTACCTCTCAATGGTGGGATGGCATTACTTTAAAGGACATTTACACAGACGAATTCCTTAGGGTAGGTAGACGACTCTAGATAC